TTTTGTGGGGGGGTGGTGGGCTTGACGAGTGCAGAGTGCAATGTTTTCTTTTTAGCACTGAGAAAACTGAAATTTAAGGGGTTGAAGAATTTAATTATTGATATAAGAAATTGTTATAAAAATCTTTGATGAAAAATCATTTTCTCTGGAAATATGATTAGGACGATAAATAAATGGTATTGATCAGAAAATAAAATGAAATATTTTTTTTACCTACGACTGTAAAATATATGACACAATAACACAGCGAATTTGTATAATAATTATTGGAAAATCTTTAGAACAATGACGTATAACATAATGTAATTTTATCACAATAATACATTAGTTATTTTTTAATTTATTATTCCGTCAAAGAAAATTGAAAACTATATCGATTATTATTTTTAAGAAAGACTGTTTTTTCTTTATAAGAAGTTTATCGTTTTACTTAAAAAAAATTTAACAAAATATTAATAAATGTTTTTCTAAGAGTTCATTGCAATTATGGCGAATTATAAATAAACTAAATGTCCAAGCAAAACTTACTCTTTTGTGCACGATAGATCTCGTAATTGTTGTTCCATGCCATTTGCCTGCTGTTCTTTGAAATCTAATTCCCTTTCCAGAGCTGCTATTTTCTCAGTTTTCTCATCCAAATCCATCTGATGAAACACACGAATCGATGTTTACATTTGCATTAATTTATAGATAATACGGTCGTCAATATTACAGTAAAATTTTTAATCTTAAAAAAAAAAAATTTAATTTCCTCTTTAAGAAATTTTACATTTATGTTACAGTTACGCTATATTACTTATACTATAAATTCCATATTCAATAAGAATATATTTTATAAAATTTGCAAAGTCGTGCATATCGGATAAGGTTTAATAGTAATTAATGTGAATTTGAGTAATTTAACAAAGCCATAGCTACAATCACTTACCAATAATTGATCCTTCTCGTGATCCAATTGGGCTACTTTAGAACGATGGGTATTGATTTCTTGCCTGAGCTCCTTAATTTGATTATCAAATTGCAATTGCTGGCGCTCCAGATTCTTGTATCTGTCCAACGCTCCAGACAACTCATTCTCGGACTGAGCAAGTTGACCTTGCACGTCACCGAGAGCTTGATCCGTTTGATCTTGCAAAGTTCTGTAATGGTGATTTCATTGTTTTAGTAAAAGGTCACCGTTCCAAGACACTAATCAAGTTAATCAGAATTTAATGATGTTCAATCTATTGATAATTTATTCAGTTTTCTTTTTCAAGGACCTTTTTAGAAATAAGACGTTTAAAAAATCTGTACGACAATTAACAATTTATGAAAGACAATAAATAAGGTATAAAATACGCAAATGTTAAGTAACATAAATAATCAAAATTACAGAGCAAAAAATTATAAATACAACGCAACTTGATCTTCAACTTTATCATCGTCATCATAATCATCATTATCATTATTATAAAGTTTAATCGACGAGGAGCACGAGTAGCGTAGCAACTACAACCTCACGTTGAATAAAACCTGCACAAGAGCTTTACTAAAGAGAAGAGGGTATAGGTATGATTTTGAATTCCGTACCTCAACTGGAAGTATTGAGTTCGTTGCTCGGTGAGTTCCTGCTTGGTCCTGCGCAGATCCTCCTTCAGGTCGTTGAGCTGATCGTCGAGGCCATTGATAGTCGCCCGCCGGGTTCCCTGAACAAGCAAAAGTTCCCTCCATTTCTGCTCGATTTGCGCAAGGCGCGACTGAGTGTCGTCGAGGTTCTCCCTGAGACGTCGCTGCTCGGTCGCATGCGCTTCCGTTGCCAACTATATTTTTTCATTTCGCGCACGCAAGCGAACACACAGGGTGGACGTATGAATATTATATATAAAATCATGAAGTTTAGCATTTAAAACTCTTTTCTAATTAGTTAACTTATCAAATCATAATAATTTAATTTTCCCAATGGTATGGGAAATATTAAGAATATATTATTTGCATTACTCGATCATTTATTTATGTATTCCATTTAAGTATTTAACATAATTTTTAGATTTTTTTTTAATAAATTATTATTTTTAATAAATTATTTCAAATAAATAAATATGGCGGATCAAAAATGGAAACTCGGAATCTACTAGTACTTTATAAAAATATATATATAAGGTATTTTGTAGATTTGATATTAAATTACTAACACTTAGAATGTTTTCAAATATAGATATTGGATATTACATGTGCTAAAAATAGATCATGCAGACCATGTTTCACATTGCAACACAATAATAATCATATAAATAGAGCAAAAAGGGATTATTTCCAATATTATTATTTATTTTAATATTGTAATTCATAAATAATATGTAAATACGGATTAACGTTAAAATTTTTTATAAAAGCATACAGTATGAATGTGGTTACTCATGTAGTTATAAAAAATTGTCAGAATTATTTCATCGATGTGTATACAAAATGACACAGCAATTTATTACAAAAAATTATTAAAAATGATTAGCTTACCAATTTTTAAACACCATAAATAGTATTAATATTTTTCTACAAACTTTAATTATACACATCTTACACGAAATAATATGTAATTCTTTATTAAACTTTAGGCATTCAAAAATTATATTGCAGAAATTTGAGAGTATAACAATAGGTTTAATTTTCTAACAACTTAAAAATATTAAATAATTAAAGTTTCAAGCACTGAAAATCACCTTAAGTCTTTCTCGAAGAGCATCTCTTTCTTCAATTAGTCTTGCAGCGTCGGCAAACGCAACGTCTCTTTCTCGTTCCACGCGTTCTGTCTAAAATACAAATAGGGCAACGTATTAAATTAATATCAAAACATATTACGTTTGTATTTCTGATAATAAACTAACTTGACGTCAAACTAACTTTATTACTTGTACCAATACTTTTTCGTTCGCTTAAAGAGGATAAGCTACTTCGACAATAATTACATGGTGAACTAGATCTTTCTTGTTTATTTTGGTAATTGTGAAGTTTATTTTCTAAATTAAATTTCTCTTGGCATAATTCTTTTTTCTCTCGCAAAAGTTTTGATATGGTATGATCCTTTTCACTTATTTGTACACGTAATTCACAAATTTGTGACCACATATTTTCCTATTTAATGTAAATTTGTAAATTGTTTAACAAATATTAAGATCAAATAAATAAAAATATAAATTATCCATACATTATCTTTTTCCGTATCTTTTTTACACTGATCTTTAATTTTGATATATTCACTTTTATAATGTTCGCGTTCATTTTCTATCCTTTCTATTGTATTTTGCAACTGAAACAAAGATTTTTATAGTAACTGAAAGTGTAAAAAAGGAAATTTCTTTAAGATTGTTAGAAATTATTTCAAAGTTTTATTCATATACCGATTCAATTATCACATCCTTGTCATGAATAAGTTTATCTATATTACACTGAGGTGCCTCGTCAATTACATCTTTTTGACAAGAACATTTCTTTGAAGCACTAGTTTTTCGTAAATCGCTTCTTTTTTCTTGAATTGCAATTTTATCTGGACTATTTGATGCTTTAAACAACATTAAGAAATGCCTTAATTTATTCAGATACATATTTAATTAAAAAATAAATTACAGAGCTAAATATATATTTCAAGATAGAATTTTTTTTTTTTTCGTTGATAAATTAAAAAATTTTATCTTTTTCCTTAAGTTTATTCTTATTTAATTTGATATGTGTTTATGTTTGTTTTTTATTGCATTTTGTTTTTAAAGTTTGATTATTTAATTCCAATTTTTTTATTTTATCCTTAAACAGTTTATTTTCTTTTTTATAATCATTATTTATAATCATAATGCTATCATGTTCACATAGAAAAATAATAAGCATACAGAGTTTATTTATATATAATTTTTACATACCCATTACAGTTAAAGTATTAATTCTATTCATCATCTGCTTTTTCTCTTCAAGAGTTGATTCTAAAACACGTTGAATATTTGATTTTTCTAATCGTGAAGCTTCTAAATCAGCCCTCAATTCTTGTGCTTCACGACGTTGGATAATTAATTCATTCTCAAGTACATGGACTTGTGTCATAAGATCTTCCAATTTTTCCTACATTTAAAAACAGTTAAGAAGAATATATAAATAAATATATTATTATTTTTTCATTAAAAGGCATCAGAATAATTTATTTTAAAATTTAGTTACAAGGATTTAATTAAAAAAAAAACTTATTTTATAATTTAAGTTTATTAAATATTTAAGTAATTAAAAAATTATAAAATATTGATTTTCCGATGCTTATATTTTTTCATTAATATTTGTTTTATATATTATATGAAATAAAATTTTGTGAAAATTTCAATGGCCACTATTATACTCCTTTTAATTTAATTATATTAACATTATTCATTATTATTCAAAAATGTAATTAAAATATGTATTAATTATAATTTTACCTGAAGCCTAAAAACTCTTTTATTATTTTCTTTCACGGTAGAATTGCAATCAGCTTCTACTGCAAGGGTCATTCGATCAACACTTTTCAATTCATTTTCTAACTCTTTATTTCGCTCTGCTAATTTCATAGCTTGAGCCATAGCATCATGCTGCTTATTTAAAGCCTCTTTCAGTTGCTGCTCCATATTTAATTTACTTTGTTGCACATTTAGAAAATCATCGCAATTTGCATTACGTTTATATTCGTTCAATAATTCTGGCCTTACACAGCAATGGTCTTTATTTATAGAAGCACAGGGTCTTCCACCTTCCAGCATCTTTTTTAGGCGTGATACTTCTTTATTTTTTGTGTTCAACTACAATAGTATTGAAAATATTTTGTTTAATATAAAAAAAAAATATATAAATCAATCATAAAGGGATAACTAGAATTATTTTCTAACTAGTAACTAAAATTAATTAATCGATAAAAATTGGAATAAATTGAAAACATACATTTTAACAATTTCTTTATAAATAGATATAATATTGTTAAACCTTAATAATTATTAAACGTGTATAAAAATTATATATTAAAAGTACCTGTAATTTTAATGATTCTATGTGTTCATTGTTTATAAATAATTCTTCTTTCAGTTTTGTTATTTCATTGCTTAAGCAACTGATCCTATGATCCGCCATACTTACAAAATCAATTACACATGGTTCAACACTTTTTGAGCTAAAATTTGTTGTTGATGTACTTATGGATTTTGGAAAAGATTCTGCTTCTAATATCGGCCTTCTCAAAGGGTAACAAGAACGTTTTTTAGTTGCTAAATATTATGTAAATGAAAAGGATTAATAATTATTGAGAATAAGATTTAATTTTATATTACTTACAAACATATATTTTGAAATTATATATTTTAAATATTTACCAAGATTTATATTGTTTACTATTGGTTTGCAACATTTCCCTTGCAACTCTAAAATCTTTTTTGATTTATTTGAAGATTCTATTTCTAATTGTTTTATTCGTTGTAAATTTTTAGAAAAGCTTAACTGTTGATCACTGAGTTCACTTTCTAATTTTCTAATTCTCTTTTTATAATCATTATTTTGCTTCTGACTTGTTTCATTAGCTTCTATTAATTCTTGATGAATCTGATTGCATTCTTGAACTAATTTTGCATTGTCACACTTATATGGATCTACTACTAACTGCAGCTGACTACATGCCTGTTAGTTATTAAATAATTAATATGATTATAATATCTATTTTACTAAAACAAGTAAAATAAAATTTGCAATTCAAATATAAGAAATTTATATATTTCCAATAATATGATGTATTAATTATTTCATTCTAAGGTACACAATCTATTTTGGATATTTATATAACGTTAACAACTGGTATGGCTTAATAAGAATATATAACTATATATAAATAGACAAGTATTTATTTTATACAATACTTTATAGACTTATAGATTTGTAGAAATAATAAAAAATGTAACAAACCTCAAGATTATCTTTAGCAATAGATTGAAAATGCTTCAAAGTTTCCTTAGCTTGAGCAAGATCAACCAATAAAAGTTCAATTAAAGGAAGAGAATCAAGCGAAAGCGCTTGTTTGTATCCTAAAGCATCTAAATTTTTTCTTACTGTACGGTATCGTCCTGCGATACTATAATTATTACAGTCGTTACTCATTTTTTTATAATGGCAATGTATCCAACAAAAAAGATATGTTCATTTAAAGTTGAAAGGCTTCAATTTTTTATATCTCATCTATATATGTACATTCCATTATGAATATTATGAAATAAGATAACCTCTATGTACAAAATAAAGATACACTATAACTGAAAGTAAAAATATTTATAAATTAAATTACATAAAAAAATTTTGCTTTGTAGAAAAATAATATATATGTTTTTAATTTCATTATTAACAATCTACAAAGAAAATTAGAATATTTATTATTCAATAATAATTTACTTAATCAAAAGGTTATTCATTCTATTTTTTAAAATGTTAAATAACATATTTTCGGTAGCGTAATATTCACTATGTAAAATAATATATATTATATATACAATTAATAATTTAAACAAACTAAATGTATTTAAAAATTATTTATCTGAAAGAATGCGACGCCGCTGTTTGTTGTGATAAAAACGTCATGAAACCATTTTTTCAGTTTTGTTCTCAAATATATTACCATCTTTACGACATGAAAAATTCAAATGGACATTTTCAATTTAGTATAATAAAATCGTTTATAAAATATTTTTAAAAGCAATATTATAGTTAAATTACAAAAATAGACTATTTTATATTATATTTTATAAAATGTTACTTATAAAGTAAATGATTTCGAAGTAAAAACAGTGTCACCAATCGAATATAGTAGGGGAATTAAATTTCCGATGATAAAATAAATACGTTGAATATTTAAATATAACGTAATATACATTCAGAACTATTTTTTAATAAATACCATTTCCAACGATTGTAATGATTTTTCTAATTTTTTAACTTTGATTAACGTAATGTTAACATTATCCTTTTGTTTTATACAATAATACAACTAATATGTTTGGATTAAAAAATTGATAGAAATTAAATTAAAAGAATAACGAATGAGTAAATTTTTATATTACATTGTTCGATAATTATAGCTTTCAATTTTATAAAAATGACAAGTAGAAAATTTCTTCTTTTTTTTTCTATTATTGATTAACAATTTGAACATTCCCAAAATCGATTGTTTAAATGGGTAAACAACAAAATTCTTTTATTAAATAGTAATAACCAATTTCGTATATTGTTTCGAAAATATTTTTCTTGATAGAAAATTTGTTAAAATTGATTAAAAAATTTTTCGCTTTCTAAGGTTAGTGCATTGATTGTTATTTGAATTCGCAATTAATAGTGAAATTTTAAACACGGCTAACATTTCATAATTAAAAAATTTTACCAAATTTAATTTTTACGATTTTTTTTTTTCATTTTCAATTACTAATGTGAAAAAATTGATCAATTTCAATTTTATTTTCTACAATATTAAAATTGTATTCAATGAACTTAAATAAATATAGAAAAGTATTTATAAATAATATTTTTTATTCAAAAAATGAATAATTTATTTAAAGTAAATGTTATAATTAAAAAATTATAATAAATCTGTTAAATTATTCCCAGAAGCATTGTTTAAAAATAAAATGTAACGGTCTCAATACGAGCATGGAATTCCAATTTTTTGAAATATCCACTTTTTATTACTTGACTTTAATTAATGAAAAGCTGTAATGTCAGAACTTTCACAAAGTAGTTACTTTTGAAATCAACTGAATACGCCGATTCATACACAATATTACAAACGATAATTCAGGCTTTATGTACAAGTATAGCATTTTTATTTATGGGAGTATAATGTGATTATATTTATTAAAACATTTTAGGTAATAATTTCACCCCTAATGAATAAATACTTCGATAAGTATTGCCAATTATATGAATATTATACTACTGATTATATTACTTATTTTAATATAAGGAATCGTTCAAAATATCCCGCATAGCGGGATTAGGAATAACCGTTTACTATTATATTTAAAAAATTATTTCGTATTGTTTTTATAAATACATACGATATGCGTGGTTCTTCCACACATAAAATGTAGAGCGAAACGTTTTACTTGATTTATACAAATTTTCAAATCAATAGCATTGCAAATTAAAATTTATAAAAGTTTCACAGGCTACACGCGCGGTTGCACACCGACGCATCCACGCATATTGAATTTGAATATTCAGTCGATTTCTTACTTAAAAGAATATATATTTTAATTAATGGAAAATAATTATTTTATGAAATAATATTGCCAATGCTCTGTATCATCATAATCTTTTAACTACATCCTAAAACGTAAAATCATAATTATTCGTGAAAGTATTATTTGTTGTATGTGTACTTAAATAATTATATAGATTAATTTTATAATATATATATATAGTACAATATTTATGTTTTTATAGAATCTAATTTTTAGAATATTAAATTATTCAATATTTTTATCGCCTATTGTTCAATTATATTACGTATGTTATACATATTTTTACTTTAAATAATGAATATGATGAGATAATTTATATATTCAATAAAAAGTACGAAAGTGCATTTTTTCAGTTTTAAGTTTTAAATTCAGATATTAAAAGGGCATTTCTAAATTTTGTTATAATCACCGACGAAAGTCAATGGATATATCTGATAAACAATAATTTATTGAATTTTTGTTGCCTTGATAATAATGAAGATTTAAAAGGAAATATAGTAAGGGAATATATTAATAAATATACTAAGGGAATATCAATCTGAAAATGGAGAGGCATTTCGATGTGGGCATGGCTTATATTTAATTAGAATGAATAAAATTATACAAATAGATATTTTTATTTAATGAATGAATTTATTTTATAATCAAATTATTCAATAAGAATTTTAATTAAATTATAAGAACATAAGAAACATTTATGCAAATATTTAGTTTATAATATTCTAAGAAATTTTATTTCAATTTGTTTTAGCCTTGAATAATTTAGAATTATAATTTTAACTGTTTTCAAAACAATAAATTCATAGATAAGGTATCTTTCAAAATTAAAAAATTATAAAATGGACCACAAACGTATTTTCAATATTTTTTAATAAGTAATCATTAAAACATTTACAAATATCATATTATTGTTAAAATGAAAGAATATAATAATGAAATGCAAATCAAACAAATATCTCTTGATTAGTTTTAAATGTTTTAAATTGTGCAATGATGTTACAATTTGAAATGAATAATTGTTACATACCTTGCGCTTAATTTTATAAATTGCATTTAAAACAATTATTACATTTAACTGTTAACATTACAATAAACAAAATTGGTAAATACAATTATGGATGCATAATGTAACAATACTGTAACTATTTGCGAGTGTCTTGGACATCTGCAAAAATATGAAATGATCTTTTAAAAAATTTTAACTTATTTGTATATTATGAAATTTATATTTTTTTCTTGCTTATTAAATAATGAAGTCATATATGAATTTTACAAAATTTTAAAAGCAATATTTTGAATATAAGTTGAGTTTTCATGTAGAATATTTTTAATATTAATAAGTGTATTTTGGGTTCATATCCTTAGTTTCTCTAACACATTTCTCAAGACATTTCTTAACATTACAATATTTAAGAATAGTTTTATAATTACTGTATAAAATATTAAGTAAAAAAAGTTCATAATTATTTGACTACAGGCTTCGGTTGATAAAACTTAATGGGTTGAATGAGTTTAAAGCAATTGTTTTACATATTTTTGAATTCACCAGTGCCATTTGCATTGAGCATCAGAATGTTGGGATTTTCCTTCTCGAAAGCGGTGGCGTCACGACCTCCAGGCCGCTCTTCTTGACCCCATTCTCCAAGTGTTCCATGCATTACGTCTGGTAGTTTGCTCAACTCCTCCTCCAGTTTCTGTGACATTTACTAATATTTTATGGTAAAATATAAAAGATTTCATTTGAGCTCATTTTCAATATTTCTCAAAAGTTTGAAATTCCTAAATATTTATTACATAAGAATGTAAATGAATAAATATTTAAAAATTGTTGGATTTGTTTTAGAGAAAATTTTGAAAGAGAGGTCAGTTTTATTACAATTAAAGGCAACACACATTTAAAGAAAGATACCTTTCTACTATTAACTAAATAATTATTTAAATTTACATAGATAAAAGTATTTTTATACATTTTATTCTTAAAATTCTGATTTTATATTTATAGTATTTATAATATTTTTTATATTTCACTGATCAAAACATAAGAAATTTCCATGGGAATAAATTAAATCGTATGACAAGATGGTTTCAAATTAAATACAAAAAAAACTTTTGGAACAAAATTTAATAGAAAACATAAAATACACCCTGACCTCGATTGAGTGGGTACCAATAAACGTGACAGCAGTAAAAATATCTGCAAAACACTATTAAAATTAATTTTATTATTCGAGCTTTGGTAATAGAGATTAGATTGAAGTGGCTAGCAATACCAACATTTTGAATTTCAATTTCTTAAAAATTGTATCTAATTTAATGAAAACAGCAGCTTTTAAATGTTTTACTATAGAAAAATATATTGCATTCTTTTAACTAAGAGTATGAAATTTAACAATGATATAAAACTTAATGTATTGAGAAAGAATTTCGAGGAAGGAAAAAGAGAATTCCATTATTTTCAATATCAAATTATTTATTAAAAATCATAATTAGAAGTAAAGAACTTAATTAAATGATATTATTTTAATTAACATTCACCTAATAATTATTCGCTATGATGATTAATTTGTCATGATATAGTATAATAAACCTATAATTAATTTATCCACAAACCTGTTGATCTTCCTTCGCAAATTTTTCAAACATATTTGCATATAGTTTCTTTTCTTTTGACAATTCTTTTTTAATTAAATTATTACAAATGATGATTTGTTTTGCTGCAGCTGAATTCTTGGGTTCAATTTTAATAACCTCTTTGAAATCTTTAACAGCAAGTTCTGGAGAAGCTAAATCAAGATGTACTTGTCCTCTTCTAAAAAAAGCTTTTTCATTCTTTGGATCAAGTTCTAGTGCCTTATTACAGCATTCTTTAGCATCAAGATATTGCTGAGTTTTCAAAAAGCATAAAGCTAAATTCAAATTAGCAGTAAGTAATAAATTATCTCTGGTTTCCATTAAATCTTCTTTATAGTCATAGGTGGGATTTGTAAATTCTATAATTTTTTTATACATTTTTATGGCTAAATTGTATTTGTTATTTTTGAAATATGATGTTCCTTTATCCTTAAACATTTTAGCTTGCTCGATTTTCTGGGCACCATCAAGGTTCCATGAACTCACTGACATTTCAAAATTCTTTAACTCAATTATGTATTCTACATTTGCATTGGGTGGAATATTTAGTTCTGAATTACCAGCAGCTCCAAATGCATATTTACTACTTAACTTAACCTTTGATTTTTCTCCTTTTTTAAATTTGAGTAGAGCTATTTCAATACCTTCAACTATTCCTTCAGCTTCACCTTCGCCTAATTCAAATTTAACATCTCGTTCTTCAAATACTTGGTCATCATATAACCCAACTATATTAACTGTAAAAATTATATTTATTATATTAATTTTTCTTTAATTTATAATTAAAATTATATCATTCTGAAATTAATTATTAATGTCGTTTGTAAAATTTATTGTTATTTAATTTTTGACAGTGTATAAAATAAATTTAATCTGATTTTATGTAAATATGATTACATTTTCATAGTTTTAAATTTAATTTTATAAAGCAGTTTCCAATTGAAAAAAGTAAAATATTTCTAAAGTATTTAATACATACTGTCAACTACGCCACCATCATTTGGACTAGAATGCCCTTGTCCAGCTTTAATTAGTTTTCTTGTGATTCCTTTATCTTTGTCAGGACTTAAATCTTCACCAGTCCAATCAAGTAGTTCAATCTATGTGAAATATCATTATTACTATATATAAAATATTCGGAATAAAATTAAAAATTGTAAAAATAGCTTGAAATTTCACATATTTTATAATAAATTTTTTTTTAATTAAATTCAATCATTATTTAATATTAACTATCAATATTAAATAAGTAATAATTGAAAACGTTTATGAAAATTAACAAAAAAGCAATATTTCATATTTTCTATTCATTTATTTCAAATTCTTCAATTAAATTTTTAAAGATATTTAAATATAATTTTAATTTTATAACATTTTCATTTGGAATATATCTATAATATTTATTAATTGATAATATATATTTACTTCAAATTTTAGTGTTGAATTTGGAGGAATATTTGGAGGGCTACCGGGTTCTCCGTATGCAAAATCAGGAGCAATCGTAAAAACTGCTATTTCACCCTTTTTCATTGTTGCAATACCAATGTCAAATCCATTAATTACTTGTCCAAGTCCTAGCTCAAATTCAAATGGTTTCCCATTATCTCTGCTGGAATCAAATTTCTTTCCATCCAAAAGAGTTCCAACATAATGTAACTTTACAAAGCTACCAATTCCTGGACTTTCATCTCCAGAACCTTCTTTGAGGATTTCTTTGAGAACACCTCCACTATTCTTGGGTGAAATATCAACAGCCATTCTGAAAAAATAACTTATTCTTATATTTTTTTTTATTCAAGAAAAATTAAAATATTTTAATGAATTCATTACTTTTGTTAAACAAAAATTTGTTTTTATAGATTTATATAAAATACGCGTAATATCAAACCTAAAATAACCTTATTTAGTAGACTATGCAGAAGCCGAAATTTTTGTTCACTAAAAAAACTTATTCTTTAATATTATCTAATGTATGAAAAAAATTCATTTTTCAAAATTTATATTTCGCATCCCTAATAAAATAAGAAAATTTTTTATAGATTATAATTAATACTTATGGTTTTCAATTATGATTTATAAACTAAAAGGACATATTTTTACATGAAGATTATGAAATAAGTATAATTTGATTTGAGTATTCAAAAGAATCGATAAATATTTTACTCGTGTAAAATGATTAAACATAATTTATATTTAAATACCTTCCAATTAAGAAGCGATTTTAAGTCTCAATAAATTCCTTCGCTAGAGCTATCGACAGGAAGTAAGATTTCAATATAATTTATTACAATTAACAATTATATTCTCAATAGGCGGTCACGTTTTACGCTTTATATCGCACTCTACAGGATTCCTTATAGAACTACAAATTTATCCATAATAAAACTAGAAATAAATAGATTAATTATAATTTGCTGTATTTAAAAGTTCTTAATTCAATTTGCTCTATTTTCATATTGCTTATAAAATATTTAAATAAATCTATTAAGTGGTGACTTGTACCTTAATAACTTTTAAATTTTTAATTTTATTAAAATTGTAAAAAATTTGCTCACAGTCACATCTACTTTGTTCTATCAAAAAGTAGATAAACATTAATTAGCTATATATATAAATATATATTATATGTTATGTAAATAAATATTATATATATTTTTTAATAATATCGACATAAAATTGTTACCGGATCCTAACCGGATATTTAAAGGCGTGATACATCATACGCATGCGCATATGCAACAAGAAATAACTACTAGTGAATATTCGAGAAATTCGATTTGTAATATGACAATTTCAAAATTTTCTTTCTGAAATAATTAATGGTGCATGTTATATTAAAAGAACGTGATTTATCTGTGACATTTTTTTAGAATAACCTTCGGATATACTAAATTTAGAAATTATTTCTTTACAAAATACAAAATTATTTTTATATTATTATCTTGTGAAATAAATATTTTTAATGAAAAATTTGTAAATAATTTTAAGACTTGATTGCAAAAGTTTTTAAGCTAATATATTTTCAATTTCTCGGAATAATATTTTGGATGCATATAATCTATTTAAATAATGATCGATCGTGTTAATCAAATTAAAATATTGCCATGTTTTTACTAGATTAGGTACCCATTGTATTACAATTTTTTTTTTATTGAATAGCATAACCTAAGTTCTTTATGTAATTTAAAATTTTAGAGTTTCGAAAAAAAATTGAAAATGTATGCTCGGTTACAAATATCAAACAATGATTGTGTTGGTACATCTATTTTCAATCAGGTTAAAAATTATTTTATGTCGAAATTAATTTTTATATAAAATGTATTAAATACTAAAATATAAAATATAATAATTTAAAATCCTAAAAATGTTCTTTATTATAAATATATCAATAATATCGAAAAGTTTCTTTTAATATTTGTTTAGTGTCGTGTACCTATAGATGAATCTTATGGATCATTGGATTCAATCATACCATAAATTAAAAAGATATGTTTAATTAGCAGATAAATGGCAAGTTTTAATATGTCATATTTGATCATATTTGATTTTGACTTTAATAATCAGTTTTGTTAATAGTACATAATAAGCATGAACTGAAAATACTGAATAGATTAGTCTCTTATTAATTAATTTATCCTTTACTTTTGATATTATTATTATTATTATTTTTTTTTTTTTTTTTTTTGGGTTTTCTATAATTCAGACCATAGATGTAAAATAAATATTGAAAAATACGAATGTAGATTATCTTTTTATTATATTCGTATTATTAAAGTACTTTAGCACCGTGAAGTTGTTTATTTGATTTATGCACCATCAAGATCATCAAAATATTTATAATAAAGTCTGTGTTCACGCAGTTACAAAAAAATTTCATTAAAAATTGTTAAAATTTGTCGTGTTTTGTAAAAATATTATAAGGAAAAAATGAGTCAGTGCAACAAATCTCGTAATTATATACAAGAATTAGCATCCCTTTTGTATAAGATAAAATCAACGTAAGAATTTATTGATCTTTTTATTATATATCATGAAATATAAACAAATCTATGCTAATGCACATTATGTAATGAATAAGTTACAATAAATTATAAATAATATTGAGATTTCTATAAATATCCAAGCATTTAATCCTGTATAATTTAATTAAATATTCTATAAAATAACTTAATAAAAATTATTATAGATACTAAACGATCTAATAATTTATTAGTTGTATTATATAACTTTTTTAAAAAAATTACTTTCATTGTAATAAATTGATTCAATTAATTCAGTTGGCAAAAATAAATTTCAAATAAAATCTGTACGATAATTAAATTGTTTTTCTAAAATTAAATTTTTATCGAGGATTTTATCAAGAATATTTAAAAACTATCTAATAATCCAATAAAATATTTAATAAATTATATTTCGTAACGTAATAAAAATGAAATTGTTAATTGCATAGTAATCATGTTACAAAATGTAAATAATACATAAAATCAATTATACACAAATATTTATTATATAACATTATTATTTTTTAACGCATAAAGTATATTATATTGAAATATTGAATGAATGAATTTAAACAAAATTAAATAAAAAATGATTAATTTTTTTATTCTAATAAAGGAATTTACAAATTTTTCCACCATTCAATTAGTTTTGAATTATCAATCCTAATTTATAACTTTATTAAGCACATCTACATATATATTATAGTTATAAAATAGAAAAAATTGTATCATATTTTATATAAATTATGTGCAAAAGTTTAAAAGAGCAGAAAAGATTTTATTAATTAAACTAAATATTAAATAAATTATATGCAATACTATGAATACAACTAATGATCAAATATTTAAATAATATAAGTTAATTTTGCTTGTCTTTTTCAAGTAAAAGAAATGCTTAATACTTTAATAATTGCAGTATAAATAGATAGTATCTATATGTATATATATGTAAATTATGATAATATATTATAATTATAATTAATATAGATATAGTATGATAGTATACTTTATTATATTTATACGTCAATCCTTTGACACGTGATTTAAGCATTCTTCATATTTATAAAATTTGTGATTTGTGATATGCTAATTAATTTGTAATTACATGCACTTCACAATAATTAAATTAAACGCGCGTCTCAATATCGCTTCGCAGACAGTTCGAGCCAGAAATCTGCAACGTAACTTGCCCGCCGCTTGGCTGCCCTCGGGGTACATGTCCTGGTGCCGGTCGGGATGACAAATGTCGCATCAACCCCTGCTCTCTGGCGACAGTGTCCCCCGATCCTTATCACGTTGGCCATCAGCATGTGTCGTCCCGAAATGCGCCACTTCAGAACTGCTGCCACCATCGATAATAATGGCACTGCTTTACTCCGCGTAGATGAACAAATAATTACGAAAATAAAATAAAAGACATAACAGTGCAAGGCTCGGCTGGTTGATGGTTGTTTACTTTCGTGTAGGTAATTGGGCTTCAAGCTTATATATATAAAATTTATTACATGAATTTTTCCCTTCGTTAAGTTTCCTACTTCGTCTCTCTCTCTCTCTCTCTCTCTTAATTTACTTAGTTCTCGAAGTTTACACATCAAAATTTTTTTATTAATTATAATCATATCATGTATAAGGTGGGCTATCGAAGCAACCGTCTAGTACAATTTATAAGTAAATTGTTTCTTTTATATTTATTTTATCATTTATTTATCAAATCTATCTACTATAACAGTCTATAAAATTTGTGATCCAGTACAGAGGGAATGGTTTTTAATATTTTCTTATCTTACATTATAGACTTCCAATATAAGTATAAGTTCTGATAAGTATAGGATAAGTATAAGTATAACAAATATTTTGTTATAAAAAATTATTTCTTGTGATTTATTTAAGGCAACAGTTTTGGCAGAAAATTAACATAGTGTCGTAAATGTATCTATAATGACTTGGCATAATGAAAGGAAGTACAAGATATGTTTGTACGTCAGTGAGAATATATCAATGAATATACAATCACGTTTAGAAGTAAAACTGCTTAAATAATCGGAAAGTTGAAATATATTTAACCAATGACCAGAGAAATAATACGATAATAAAAATTGCTTTTTTAGAAGAAAATATTGAAAAATATGTAACTACAAATGACATACATGAATAATTACACTTACATAAAATGAATGTTAACATGTACTAATTCATATTTTAGTTCATAAACATTTATGTTGATTATTATTATTTAATTTGAGTATTTATATGCAATAGTTAATACGAGCAGATAATAAGTATGATTACAGAAATAATTTTATTTAAACACGTATTTATCCGCGCGTTCGAGTGTTTCGGGCACAATAATACTCAATGAAGGAGAGATAAAGGAAGGTTTCCGCAAAAGGTTTCCGCAAAAGGTTCCGCAACTTCGAGAATTTACCCTTATAATGGCGATATCGTTCTCGCTATATTCCAAAGACATATGTCTTTGCTTTGCCCAAGTCTTATACGTTATCCACCAATTAATTTGGTGCTTCCTGCCACTCCTTAAGTCAATGGAATCCACGAGGACAAGAATGTCAGTTCTTTTTTCCCCTTTCAAGCAGTGTTCGGCAGTCAAAACATCTCGTGGGGAGATAAGAGCTCCAGTGCAGATATGATTTCTTTCAGCAGTAATATCGGCAGTGCTATTGCGCATTAATGATACAACAAAAGGAAATTCATTTGTCTTTACTTTCTCAACGTTTTGCCCAATCATGGGATTTCCATTTGCGAGTACGCATTGGACGCCTGAAATATATAACTTTTAATTTTAATGTACATTAGAGTTATAGAAATATTGGCGACTTACATAATATTATGTAATGTCCAAGAAAGAGATACGTATTCCCTAGCATCTTAAAGCCACTAAAATAACAAATTTATCCTAAATTAGCTCAGCATCTGCGGTATTATTTATTCAACTACTATCATGTTTTATGTTTTATGTCTTTGTCTAATTCTCTTACTCCGCTTATGATAAATTTCACAATTTAATTAACAAAATTGCTTTGAAGTTTTTAAATTCCAAATACACAATTGGACACTTCTGTTGGTAAAATCATTATTAACGAACGTCTATGGTTTATTATTATTAAAATTTATTAAATTTATAAATAAAATATTTGTTACTATATTATTTGATTACATGGTATTACTTATATACGTACATATCCACTAATATATATATATATATATATATATATATATATGTATATATGTGTGTTCATGTGGGGGTACGTGTGATGTGACGAAATCTTCATTTTGTCATATAAGGAATTTTAATTTTTGTTTTATTTTTCTTATTTTAATCGATCGACATTATTAAATTCATTTATTAAATTACATCAAATATGAAATATTTGAAAATATATTAAGATCTATTATAAATTAAAAATTGATGTATAAAATTTATAATTATTGTTTTGATTATAATGGTATATGCAAATATATTAAAATATGAAAAATAAACTAATTTTTATTATAAATATAACGAATAAAATATAAATTATTTTATCAAATATCGAATGTCAATTTTATCGATATAATTACACACAATTATGAATGAAACATTTTACAAATATAGAAATACGTTTATTTCAGAAATCGCTAAATATGTATAATTAATAGCATTTGCTTATTCAAAAAACATCAATATTTGAACAGTTTTTATGCTAAATTTAATTTTAACGAATCTTAACAAGAACTATATTGAATACGTCATGTACGATAAATCTCAAAATACTAATCCTAATTATTATTCGTCTCCTTAGTGTATACAATGATAAGACTATTAAAAGCACTGATGAAATTCTACAAAAACCTGAGTATTAATAAATATAACATGCAAATCATATCTTAAAAAGTGGAAAAATATAACATTAATTACGCAATAAAATATGAAACGTTCTAATATTGCACAGTTGCTCTTTTTACGCAAATAAATGTATAATTGCTATAAAATATTTACATTGTGCTTTACGAATATATTCAATTATCTTCATTTTATCATTAAATTAAAAAATTGCATTATAAAAACACACGCTTATCAAATTTAAAAATTAATTATCGACTTAAATTGTAGATATATTTGCATTTGAAAATTAAAACTGTACAATCAGCTTGGTTATATCAACAGTAAAACGAACATTACTAAGTCCATGTGAATATACATTAGTCTACCGTTTGATTTGCTTGTACTGTTTGCTTAAAAATCGTGTAACTCCGAATGTAATTCAACAATTAGTCTGCAACTTTATTTTTATAATGTTGGATTACCCAATGGACTATTTCTCATCAGAATTATAATATAGTATTAGCCTTAATAGAGTATATCATTAAAGTTACGATTTCAAACATATTAAATATTTTCACAAATTAAAAGAAAAAATTAACATGTACTCTATAGTTTGTTCGATACACTCGTTTTATCATTGCCGAAGTTTAAATGACTTGAGCTTGTGAAGTTTAGCTCCATTATAAATATCGAACTTATTCTGTGCTTAACTCAAATCAAAGTCTTTTTATGTAAATAAAATTTTGTTCTCATCCTCTGATCTTTTTCTGTGACTAGCTACTCTGCATCTTAGAGTTCGATTACATAATTGAAATTTGTTCTTTACAATTAGGAGTATGAGATCATCGGGTTAACATTGGTCTGCCAAAAGAAATTCTTTTCCATATTTTCATAAATAGTCGATTATTATTCGTTTAAAGGACAATTACGAAATCTTTTTTTCAATTTTCTTTTACATATTAAGAGATGATGAAATAATATTTCAATTTCATTATCGACTAAGGGATCTCATAATTTTGTCAATAGATATGCGATCTAGGACTTAATATTCTGAATAAACTGTTGTAAACAGAAAAAAATCTTAAAACGCAACTTGAAAATAAAACTATTGTTATATTTATTTGTAATCCAATCATATTTTTTTTATAAAATATATCGTAACTTGAAAATATTTATGATTTAATCTTTATACTTACTAATAATACTAATTTTTCTTAATTATTCATCAACAAATAATAATTTTTAATAGAAGTCTATACGGAATTTAGAAGAAATTTCTATCACATTTGGTTTTTCATAAAAAAACCATTTACGTATATAAGTGGGATAAAAGAAATTTGTATTACTTCTCATTATTATAATTACATGTATAAATAAATATTACAATTAATCTTTTTCATGTTTGACAATTATGTTATAATCACAATTTATGTTATAATTAAATTATTTTCAATGAATTTGTTAATTTGTTTCTCGTAAAATAAACTAATTTCTATGTATTTTAAATTCGATTACAAGTATTTATTTATTTTAATTTAATAAAAATTAAAGAAATTACAAGTGTTTTAAAAATCATTTTACATACTTTATTCTATATTTATATCAAATTATTCTAATTACATTTAGACAAATACATATTTAACGTATTAATGTATTATTGGATTCATATTCAAATTGAATTAATTGATATTACTTTATTATGTGATGTAATTATTATTATTTAAAGCCAAGCAAAATTCTCATTCGAGACATACAGAATAAATTCTCTGTAGTAATGAATATTCGAGTGAACGTTTACTTTCTCAGGGTTATAGCGATTCACGAGATCTGGAAGTACTTCTTTATTAATTCCAATAATTCTATTGTAATATAAAACTGGCCCACCAAAATCTCCCTGAAGCATAAGAAAATACAGCTATTATCAGTGTGTCAAAAACGAATAATCAGCCTTGAATAAATTTAATTATTTAGATATAAGAATATTATATCTATCGACTATAGAACATTAAAAATTGTTTATGTATTAATTTCAGTTCATTTTAACAGAGTAAATATAAATATCTACCTCAATCTATAAAATCTAAAAATAATTAATATTCTTTAAGTGATGCATACTTACACGCTTAAGTAATGTAAAAGGTGAATTATGAGTACAGAAGTGACTTTCACCAATCATAACTGCACGTCCACTTGCGTCGAAAATTCTACGTTCACAATCATCATTAAATAAGACTCTGGCAGAGCCTAATAATATTGCTCTTGATATCTGACGTTGATTGCTTATACCCCATCCTGCCATCCTAACGAATTTATCAACTGCATCAGTGATGGATATCGGTGCTAAACGACCTACTTGAAATTGTTCTTCAATTGGATGCGTCAACTGTAAACATTTTATTTTATTGTAATATGAAATTGATAATATGAATTTTAAAAAGTTGATTTTTATTGTTTAATTATGTAGAAAGAATGAGGATTATAATGTAGTTCAATAGCAGATTAATGATGCAATTAAAAATTTACTTTTTCAATATCTAGTTACCTTTGTAACGCTAACATCATGATCTACAATATCAAGAAACATATTTCTATATAGAGCCCACTCAGTATAAGTAATCCACCACTCTATATTATATTCTGCACAATAATCTAATAAATTCGATCCATGAATTACAACAGTTTCATTAGGTGATCTGTTTTCAATACACTGAGCTGCACTGAGAACATGACTTCTAGTAATTAGCGATCCAGTGCAAATGTGATTTCGTGTAGGATGAGGATCTAGCAAATTAACATGTCTGAAAGCTGCAAGAAAACTAAAATCTCCTGATTGTGCACTGCGAACTTCCGAACCAATCAACGCATTAACAGTCGGAAAATTACATTGCGTACCTAAAAAACAATTGTAATTGACATTAAAATACTGCACCATTGAAATCGCTTATAAACCGTTTCTATCATAGTTAATTCTTACAGATTATCGCACATACGGCAAGAAGTAAAAATTTGTCGAATTCCATGCTAAAATGGGAAATTTAATTAAATTAATAAAATGAACGTTGAATATATCTGATATATTGAAAAATTAAACTTTCAAATATATTTAATAAGAGTATTTATAAGTCATTTACATAAGCTTGTGTGAATTCTACAGTATAAATTCGAAAAAAAAATTGTTCGATTACCGATTGTCGTAACAATATCAGTTTCAATTTATTCTCTTTCAATGTAAAAATTGTAATATTGAAATATTATGTTTGGATATAAAAATATTACCTTTACTCTAATTAAGTAATATTAATAATATATTATTTTAATGCGTAAGTTTACCTTTTCAATCGAAGAAATTTTTTACAAGAAAATTATAAATTACTTCAAAACATATTAAGTTTCTATTATAAACAAATATTTTGAATTATCAGTTATCGGTGCCAATATTTTCAAAATTCATTGACACGTGGTGACTATAATTGCTGTAAAAAAGAATTATTTTCTAATATGAATAAAAGTAATTTTTTTACAGTTTAATTCAGTTTATTCATTCTTTTTTTATCAATTTTCCTAGTGTATTCAATGATAAATATTTCAAAACAAATTCGAAATTTATTTCTAAGCGTTATCAAATATTTTATATGAGCCTTAAATTATCAAATAAGATGAAAATATTTTTTTGAGTTTCAAATTTATTCTCAATATGATATTGTTTAAATATGAAAAAGTCAATAGTGCTATTCAAAAGAATTTTTATATAACTTTAACGAGATTTTCATATCTCTATGTATGAAAAAACTAATTGTCTATTTTCATTTAATGTGCTCAATATACTGTAAAATTTAATAGATAAGAATTAGTAAACAAATTCGTGAAATTCTTAAATTTGAAAATTAAAAATGAAAATTCAATATCTCAGGTTGCATTTAACAGAACGAAGTCTAAAATCTTTAACTATTTATCAGTATTATTCATTTTTTTAATGAAATTAATATTTAATACTTAGTTTTACTATACTTCAGATAATCGTTAAATTGTTTCGCAATGTTTATATAGTCATTATGCGGGTTCGTGTTAATTATGCTGGAATTTATTCATTAAATTATAATGTAAAATAGATTATTTTTGATCTGACGAATAATGAGATGTATGCTTAACTATAATGAAGAATATGTTTTACAATTTAATCCCATACTCCATAGTTCTGTCGAGCCACTCATCTTATTTTCGCCTAAAGTTCAACGATTCTGGAATTGATTATAAAACATATTCTGATGAAGAAACCGTATTTATCTTATTTTTTTTTTTTTAAACGAACAAATATTTTCGTATATGAAAGGCATATGATTGATATATGATTGCCCTCACTCCTGTGGATTAAAAATATGAAAATATATGTTTATGTGATTTTCCTTTCAGATTATGATTTGCTGTTAATGTATGTTATAGTATAACCATTGTGATATTTGTTATGCTTTTCTTTAAAATTTAAGCATTATGATATTTATTTCAGTTTTTTTTTTAAAATAATGTTAACGATAATAAATTGTTATGTTACCATCCTTCAATTTGTGATAATACAAAATTATTATTGAATTCGATTACAATAAGAATTGTTAATTTATTGTAATTATACATATTAGACGTATACGTAGCTAATTATACAACTGGTTACAAATACAAAATATCAGCATAAAATTGCATTGAACGTTCAAATTGAACAGATGTGCTTTTAATTATTTATTATTCTACCCAAACAAAATCATCATTTGTAACATCTGTAATAAATTCACTGTAATAACTAGTATTCATATGGACGTTAATTTTTTGGATAGTTTCAACTGAGGTTCCTTTGGGAAGTACTTGTTTGTTGATTCCTACAAGTCTGCCGCAGTGCAAAACAGGCCCGCCAAAATCCCCCTGAAAGATAAAGATATACTTTAATAGTATTATAATTGCTTATGTACAAAAATATTTGATATAACTATTTATATTCAACATATAATTTAATTTTTTACTTACTCGTTGTAATAATATGTAAGGTGTGCCAAGTGTACAGAAATACCTTTCATCAATATGTGTTCTGGTTCCACTTACTCGTAGAATATGAGCTTCACATTGAGCATTTGATACAACGACCGCAACGTCTGTTAGTAGATTTAGAGATAATACTCTACGGTCACTTGTACCCCATCCTGCCAAGAAAACGGGATATCCTATCATTTCTACTTCAGTTGTTTGTAGTAATAAAGCTGGTTGAAAATGTCCTACTATTTGATGTGTTAACTAAATAATTTATAAAGTTTTGAATTAAATATAACGTATGTATTCGATTAATTTTATAAGTAAATGATTCGTGTTCATTTATTCATCAATCCGATCATTATTATTAGTACTTTGAATGATTTTAATTTCTTGATAAGACAATTTTTTATTAAAATAATGGATTCATATTGATTATAAATCTTTAATGATTAATTAACCTTTAGAATAGCAATATCATTCTCTATAAATGGAAGAGGTTTATTTCTATAAAGTGCCCATTCGTTAAAATATATCCACCATCGAATATTGTATGTGACACCATATATTAAAGTATTGGTTCCGTAAAGGACAGCAGTGTTATTCACTTGTCTATTTTTAAGACAGTGCGCTGCAGTTAGAACATGAATTCTTGATACCATCGTTGCGGTACAGATATGATCACGGTTTGGTAAAGGATGCGTAATATTAATTCGTTTTATAGCTACGATGAAGGGATATTCTCCTTCGAATGCGTTGCGAACATTTGGTCCAATCAACGCATTAACGGTCGGAAATTTAGATTGTATTCCTAAAATATAATAATTAATTAATTAGAAAAATTTTATGCTATTTGAATCATTGATTTATTCTTACTGAATAATGCAAATAAGCCTAGAAGCGAAAATATTTTGAAACCCATACTGGAAATAAATAGTCAATGAGATATAGCAATAATGTTGAATAATTAACAAATATCTTTAAGTTTAAGCTTGGATAAATTTAACATGTAATGTACTTCATTTTATTTAAATAAATGTCTATCCTACACGCATTACTTTTTAAATATATCGCTTCAATGTTAATCGTTACAAAAAAACCACTAAAAATATTTATAGTCTAACATAAATTACTATGATTGCAGTGAACAAGAAATATTTCATAATATAAACATTATACACTATAAAAATATATTAAATTATAATCATTAATCCTTCATTTCATTAAACTTTTTAATGTCTTTAATGATAAAAATGAAAAATAATGTCGAACACATATACTATGAAGTATAACATGTAAATCATACACTAAGAAGACGAAAAAACAATATTACAATAAATTAATTACGCGATAAAATTGGAATTGTTCTAACATCAAATAGGCGATATTGCCACGAAATTGAATTTATGCTTGCTATAAAATGATTACATTGCGATGTATGAATATATTAATTTTTTAAAATTTTATTATTAAATTAAAAAACATTTGCATTATAAAAATACAACGTTTTCAATATTAAATAAGTTATTGACTTAAATTGTATATAAATTTTCGTTTTAAAGTTGAAATTGTACGTACAAATCAGTTGTATTAATTGTAAGAAGAATATTACGGAATCCATGTGAGTATACGTTAGTCTATCATTTGATATACTTGTACTTATATTTATAGAAAAATCCTGCATTTCTAACTCGGAATTGACCAATAAAATTGTAAATTTCTTTTGTTGTTAAGTAATGTAAATGTTGGATTATCCGATAGATTATTTGTCATCCGAATAATAATGATACAGTATTTTTTAAGTCTTAATAGAGTAAAACACAAAATCTTTCAAAAGCATATTCTATTTTATTAAATTTTGGAGTTACATGAATAAATATAACAATTCCTTTTAATGTTTGTTATGATTAATTAATTTCGACGAATTGCGTTAATATTCTGTCAGTTCTAATTGATCAATTATTAACTATTTTGTTCATTAACGTCATATAGGACATGAAGTTTATTAAGAATGATATTACACATTTGATGAATTGTAGAGCTCATTATCTTGAAAATTAATTTATAAAATAGTCAATATATATTATTACAAATAATTGATCATTGAAATATTAAATATTAAATATTATAGCCTTCTGCTATGAAATTCAACTGATATATTTTTATTTATCCTGCGTTACATTTATCATTCAATTCCAAACGAAAGTGTCAGCCATTACGGTTGTAATAAATTCTCTATAATAATTTATACTTGTATGTAAGTTCATTTTTTCTGGGTCCATTTCTATCCCCCCTGCTGGAATTATTTCCTTATTAACTCCTACAATTGAACGTTGGTATATAACGGGCCCACCAAAATCACCCTGAAATATAATAAAATATATTATTGATTGATAATTGATTAAATATAAGTAAATACTCATAAAATATATTAATTTATGTAATTGTTAGTATGTTATTATTTTTTAAATTGTGATTAATATATTGAAAATATTGTATTTCTGTTAATTGAAATTATAAAATATCTACGCTATTTAGTTATAAAATTATATATTTATATCCAAAAGTAGCATATCGATTATACTATGAAAAATAATTGTATCATCGAAATATCGTATATCTTTCAGCTGTCTATATAATTATCATTAATATAGTTTTAAAAATATCTGATGGAAAGTAAGCAAACATTGAAATTAATACTTTAGGAAATTTGGATTATGTTAATATGAATAAATTATACCATCTCATAATAATTATTATTATTATATTCAAATAAAATTAATAAGCTAAAAAAAGAGTATTACTACTAATATCTTAGAACTTTGAAATAACAGTAGAATACAGTCATTTTCAATGTTCTACATGAAATCAATTGTATCCAATAAAATTAATACTTACACGTTGTGTTAATATAAAAGGATCATTAAAAGTACAGAAGTATCTCTCATGAATGCCTATTATTCGGTTAAATGAGGCTCCAAGTCTAATTTCACAGTCATTCGGTGATAAGACTCTTGCACTTCCGGTTAGCAGATTAAGCGATGGTATACGCCGTACAGTCAAGCCCCATCCTGCTAAAACAATGTATTCATTTGCTAAATTCTGGTTCGAAATTGTTCCCAAAGGGGCAATCATGACACTTTCTGGTACTGCTTGAGCTATCTAGATGAATTTTAGTAAGTGATTAATAAACATATCCGTTATATTTAATTAATTTAAGAGTGATTGTTATTTTCATGATATATATAATTTTGTTTACATGAATAGAAACTATAAAAGTATTCAATATCTATAATTTAAATAAAAACCTCCAAATTACAACTTTATTATTTGATAGTAAAGATTAGATTTGCGATTATTGACAAATAACTTACCTTTGTAACACTAATGTCATTGTCCCGGAATTGAAGACGCCTATTTGTATTCAAGGTCCATTCGTTAAAATTTACCCACCATTCTATACCGTAAACTGAGCAATATCCTAATGTATTTGATCCATGGATAATAACAGTTTCATTTTTTAATCTAACTTCAATACAATGTGCAGCACTTAGAACATGAGTTCTTGTGATAAGTGCTCCCGTACACACATGATCACGCGTGGGATGTAGATTTATTACATTGACTCGTCTAAATGCTACAATGAATGGAAATTCTTGATACTCAGCCTTGCGAACACGCGGACCAATCATTGCATTGACAGTCGGAAGGTTACATTGTATACCTTAAAAAAATTATAATTATTTAAATTAGAAATTATAAGACCTCATTCATTATTAGACCAATTGTATTATAATTCATTCTTACACATTAATGCACATAGAGGAAGAAGTAAAAATATGTTGAAATCCATACTAAAAATAAAGAGCAAGCAAGTATATAAATTATCGTTGAATATTTATAAAATATAAAAAATGTTCATTATTTAACATTCAACTTAATAGATTATTCTAATGTTATCAATCTTTAGAACCAATTTAAACAAATTTATAATAATTTAACAGAAAAATGAGACTATTCAAATGTCCGTAGTAGTGGGTACATTATATTTTTTAAACAATTAGAAAAACTTTAAATACTTTTTATTAATACAAGTTAAATTATGTTTGATATATATTAATAAAATATTATCATACCTTTCAAATTGATTGAGGTAAAACGAAAAAGTAATTAATAATTATTTCAATTCTTACTAATTAATTATATATAATACAAAATTCTATAAAATTACAGTGTGATTGTGAATTCTAACGTTCTTTGTTAGTGTATTTTCCTGAAATGAGTGATAGTATATATGTGAGAAACATTAAATGTTAAATTCAAATTAATCCTTATATATACCGAAATCCATATTTGCTAATATTCAAGACTTTAAATAAAATATTAAATTTGGCAAAGGCACAAAAATTATTAAATATTACGCACAAATCATAAAGTAGATGAAAAATATTGTAACAATTTTGTTAAATCCTGTAAATGATAACGTTTTCACATCAAAAAGTCAACATCAGCTAACAAATTAGATTTATAATATTTTGTAAGAAGCATTTAGTACAAAACAATTAATTTTCATATTAAAATTTGTAAATACTAATTAATATAAATTTCAATTGTTACTCAGTTTTCAAATTATGAAAGGAGAAATGTCAGTGCTAATAGAAATTGCACAACAAATATTGAAGTATACTATAAATTTCTAAGATTTTATTCAAACGTTAATGTAAAAATCATATAGTTTTGAAAAATAATCAGATAATAAATTAATTTTTTTACAATGTTGGATTATCCGATAGATTATTTGTCATCCGAATAATAATGATACAGTATTTTTTAAGTCTTAATAGAGTAAAACACAAAATCTTTCAAAAGCATATTCCATAATTCATGCAATTGGCTCTTCTTATCATTTCTAAAGTTTAAATGACTTAAACTTGAGAAGCTAAGCTCCATTATACATTGAATATCGAACTTATCCTGTGTAAATGAAAATTTTGTTCTTTACAATTAGGAGTATGTGAACATCAGGTTAGCATTCGTCTGCCAAGAGAAATTCTTTTCGATATTTTCTTAAATAGTCGATTATTATTCGTTTAAAAGACATTTACTAAATTTTTTTGTCAATTCTCTTTTACATATTAAATGATGATGAAATAATATTTCAATTTCATTATCCACTAAGGGATCAATTAATTCTGTCAATAGATAAAGATAATTGTTTCGATCTTATATAGGAATATCGAATAAACATTTACAACAAAACATAATATGCACAAAGTTATCTTAAATAAAAAATCATGTCAGGTTGTAGAATATTTTTTACTTTAAGTATAATTTACATAGATTATCACAATATATCATTATCTGCACATAATTTTGTCATGACGATTTATTTGCGATCGGTTATCTTTGGTATTTGATGATATTCTATTTATATCTATTTGCATAAAAACTAGAATTTTATATCGATGCCACTATATTGATATTTATACCTACAATATAGATCGGCCAATATTTACAATTTTCCTTCTATAGAGAAGTTTACTACAGCTATCAGCTCAGTATTACATCAAATAACGTTAAATATTTTTATGATCCATTAATGATGTTAACATAAAAGAATATTCATATCAACAAATTTTTTTTACATTACACAACGAATTCATAAGTCATTCTAATCAAATAATTCATATCAAAACATCAAATAACTGAATGGCAAAGATCATTTGGCTTATTTCTATTATTATCTTGGGATTAGTATTTGCGAAATATTTCATACAAACTTATTGAATACAAATAACTATAATATGAAGAGAGAAAATGTTAAATAATTATTGTTATCTCTATATAACCTTAATTTAAATAATATTATTTACTTTGTAAATAGTATTATCATCTGAATTAATGAGGCATTGTAATTATAAGTCATTTAGATGTGGAAAATTCGATAGAAGAATTAATTTTAATTGATGAGAAACTTTATTTTTCGGATAAATGCCATTTTTTTTATTAAATTTTGGAGTTACATGAATAAATATAACAATTCCTTTTAATGTTTGTTATGATTAATTAATTTCGACGAATTGCGTTAATATTCTGTCAGTTCTAATTGATCAATTATTAACTATTTTGTTCATTAACGTCATATAGGACATGAAGTTTATTAAGAATGATATTACACATTTGATGAATTGTAGAGCTCATTATCTTGAAAATTAATTTATAAAATAGTCAATATATATTATTACAAATAATTGATCATTGAAATATTAAATATTAAATATTATAGCCTTCTGCTATGAAATTCAACTGATATATTTTTATTTATCCTGCGTTACATTTATCATTCAATTCCAAACGAAGGTGTCAGCCATTACGGTTGTAATAAATTCTCTATAATAATGAATACTTGTATGAATGTTAATTTTATCTGGATTAACTTGCTTTCCCCCTGCTGGAAATATTTCTTTATTAACTCCTATAATTGAACGTTGGTATATAACGGGCCCACCAAAATCACCCTGAAATATTATAAAATATTAATGATCCACAATTTATGAAAAATAAGCAATTATTTATCTAAATATTTATTTATTTAAAATAAGTAAGTTTAACAAAATTACTATTACTACTAGCATCTCAGAAATTTGAAATAACAGTAGAATACAGTCATTTTCAATTTTCTACATGAAATCAATTCTATATAATAAAATTAATACTTACACGTTGCGTTAGTACAAAAGGATTATTAAAAGTACAGAAGTGTCTCTCATGAATGCCTATTATTCGGTTAAATGAGGCTCGAATTCTATTTTCACACTCATTCGTCGGTATGATATTTGCAATTGCTGTTTGCAAATTACTTGCCGTTATTCGCCGTACCCCCCAGCCCCATCCTGCTAACTCAATTGGTTGATTTAGTAAATTCTCGTACGAAACAGTTGCCAAAGTCGCAATTAAGACATTCTCTGGTACCGGATAAGTTATCTAGATGAATTTTAATAAGTGATTAATAAACATATCCGTTATATTTAATTAATTTAAGAGTGATTGTTATTTTCATGATATATATAATTTTGTTTACATGAATAGAAACTATAAAAGTATTCAATATCTATAATTTAAATAAAAACCTCAAAATCACAACTTTATTATTTGATAGTAAAGATTAGATTTGCGATTATTAACAAATAACTTACCTTTGTAACACTAATGTCATTGTCCCTGAATTGAAGATACCTATTTGTATTCAAGGCCCACTCATTAAAATTTATCCACCATTGAATTTGATATGCATAACAATATGTTAATATATTTGATCCATGAATGATAAGAGTATCATTTTTTCGCCTATTGGCAATACATTGTGCAGCACTTAGTACGTGAGACCTTGTAATAAGGGTTCCAGTACAAATATGATCGCGTATAGGGTTGAAAGTGTTCACGTTCACTGATCTAAATCCTACAATGTAAGGAAATTCATCTGTTCCAGCATTGCGCACAGTCGGACCAATCATCGCATTCACAGTCAGAATGTTAGATTTTATGCCTAAAAATTGTTATTTAAGTAAAAACTTGGAACATTATTATTATAAGCCATTTGTATTAAAATTTATTCTTACATATCATCGCACATACGACAAGAAGTAAAAATATGTTGGATTCCATGCTAAAATGAAAAACAAATCATTTTATAAACGATTATTGAATAAGTTAAAAAAAAATGTCAAAGTTCAATATTTTACATTCAAATTAGTGAATTCTTTTAGCAATATCAATCATTATATCCAATAAATTTATAATATTTTAATTTAAAAATAAGAACTTGAAATGTTGGTACTAGTGGGTATGTTACTTTTTTAAACAAAAATTAAATTTAAGTATTTTTTTTATATAATAGTCAAATTCCATTTGGTATATATTTATTAGACAATAATTTACCTTTCAAATTGATGAGAGTAAAACGAAAAAGTAATTAATGATTATTTCAATTCTTACTAATTAATTATATATAATACAAAATTCTATAAAATTACAGTGTGATTGTGAATTCTAACGTTCTTTGTTAGTGTATTTTCCTGAAATGAGTGATAGTATATATGTGAGAAACATTAAAT